TGTGCCTTGGCAGTCTCTAGTATTTTTTTAAATTTATTTTAATTCCTTATGTCCTCTTATATGATTTAAAAAAAAATACATCTCTATAATTATTTTCTTATTTATTCATTATTTTTCGTATTCCCTTCTTTTATTTTAGTAATGTTTTTATCAATTTCCTATGACTTCACAGTCTGGAATATCCACAGACTATTTTGACTCCTGTGTAATCCGATCTGCTAACTAAGGTTTTATTTATTCAAATACATTTTATTTACGCTCATTCATTGGTTCTGTGGCGTTTGCATGACGTTTACTTATGGTTATTTATTGATATTTAGTTGAGTTCTTTTTATTTGTTGAAATCATAGAAAGAAGTCCCTAGTTTCTTAAGTAAATCTAATAAACCCTTCACACATTTATATTATGGATGTCATTTATTGTTAAATACTTATTAATTGTGTTTTAAGAATCAGTTGGGACAATATATCTTATGTATGTACCAAACTGTGGATGGTAAAAGTGTTTTCTTAGTATTTCATCTCTATGTTTTTCTCTATTTACCTGCTTATTTACCAGGTGAAAGCCTAGTTAATGCTATATTTACAATATGTTTACGGGTAAAGACGTTACCATTGGTCATTTTTCGTGAGACAATAAGATTGTGACTTGATTTTCAACCTACATGAGAAACATTTCGGCTGTAACCTCCTCAACATACTCTGTACTGCATAATACATTACAAACTGTTCAAGGTATATAGTATGTGACATTTCTGCGTGTGTGTGTTTGTGTGTGTGGGATTATAGGAGCTATACATGTGTGCGGTTCAGGAGCTGAGTCGGAATCCTGAGCTGGTGGAGAACGTCCTCAAACTGCAGAGATGGACCGAGATATTACACTGCCCGTAAGACACACACTCTACACACAGTCATACACACAGAGAACAACACGACACTCACAGTGAAGGGGCGGACTGAGACTAAAAATCAGCGCGGGAAACTCTACCGGCCGACCGGCCCAACTCGGGGGGGG